CTTTGCTTTTCAAACGCAACAAACGAACAAATTAGCCTATCAGCAGCGATCCAATCGCACATCACCATCGACTCCGCGTCAAAAGAAAATGAAACTAAGTAGCGCGTTCCACTAACTCCCTCTCCCTCTCTCGTCGTTTCCTGTTTATCGTCTCGTGCGTACTACCACACGGCTCCTTACGGCGGTGGTCGGGGTCATTTAATTCAAGAAGAGGCTACTGCTCGGCGTTCTGCAAGAGCTGTAAGGATACCTACTTCCCCTCTCGCGCGTTTTTCCGGTTACGACGCACGCGAGAGCGGAAGTCGAAGGGAGCACTCTACTTTACGTATGTTTCGCTCGCTCGCGCGCGCGCGCGCGCGCGTGTGTGTGTGATGAAAGGAAGGACCACCGGAAGATTTTTACGAGAGAGGATTAGCGCTCACGGATTCTAAGAAGGATGGCACTTTTCGGTGGTCCGCCGGCAGAACATCTCGAGGGCGTTAATTAAAGCCTGGCGCCTTTGTTTTCAGCGACAACAACCTCGAGTCGCTGTTTACTTTAATTGGAGGGGGAGGGGGGGGGGGCGCTAGGTTTTACTTAACGAAATGGCGCTCGGGACGCGCAATGGGGAAAAGCCTCAGGGGTGCTAAAAGGTGTCGATAATCGAGCAAACGGCCATGACATCGCACGCTTGTAATTGCAGTGATTCATGATTTAATACCGCGAGGAGGACGCGACAATGACTCTTACCTGTTGGCATTGTCATGCCGCGTCAACACTTATATGTGCGTCGCGTTGCCACTGTACTTCCTCTACATCCGTTAAATTTACGGAAATTTATGGCTGCGTCGTTTTCCGAGGAAAATTTGCGATGTAATTTGATAAATGATTCAATTCAATGCGGCCGCGCTGCTGAGAGGTCGCCGGCTAAGATCACCGTCACCAGTTTCCGTTAAGACTTTGATACGACGCCACGATGAGCTACACTTTTTCATTAAGTAATTTTTTCCTATTTTCAAAGAAGTTAATCATCGAAAAAAAGTTACAATGATGGATTACCGTCGGACTTGCAGCGACAAAAATATTTTCTGTTATTAAGAAAAAAAAAGTAGATGACACGTATACAACAAAAAACATATTGCACGCGCTTTTCCAACTCCCCCCCCCCCCCCCCTCTTCTAACCAATTTTTCAGCGTAAGTCACACAGGAAAACTGTTTCACCGAAATACTTCTTTCTCTTACATACGTATCTCCCGATGAAATCTCACCTGGCGGAGATACAAAAAAAACCTCGCAGAAGCGCGCGCGCGTTCGTTCTTTCGGCGTGAATCAACACCCTCGAACGGTTATTTACGATGGTTACGCCACGTTTAAAAAAGTGGAAAGCTTGTGGCCTCGGGGGGCTCGCTAGCCCCCCTCGATCCAGAAAAAAAAGGTGTCGGAGATCTCACTCGCGCGCTTGGATGAAAAATTTTTACCGTCGTCGCAAAAGGGTGTCGTTTTTTTCTTGGCTAACTCTAGATTTATATCGACGTAATGGCTGCTTAATGGAAAAAATCCGTGCGTGCTATCGTAATTTTACGAGATAAATCGACAGCGATATTTTTTGGGGGGAGAGGGCTATTGTTTATTCTATTTTTTTTTATTTTTAGGGATTCGGAACATATGTATTTGGTAAGAAAAGCGTCAATCTAATGGATGCTCATTTATACTTTTTTTTAATATCAGATCGTAAGATATCACATTTTATTACTGTTTGAACACCATTTAATTCTCAATTTTTCACAAAATAAAAGCTTTAATTATAAAATCCAACCAACCGATTTTTTTTCCGCAAAAAGAAAACGTTGCAAATCGAATCACGACGCTGCCTTCAAAGCAACACGTTATTACGTCATTCACACCAAAACGTACAATGCCATAAGCATAATTTCAAAAAAGAAGAGGAATTCAAGCGCCATTCAAAAAGTTAGAACGTTCCCACAAGGAGACTCTTCGTCGTTTTTTTTTGTTTTTTCGGAAGAAAGTGAAAGCGTGCACGCGCGCGTTGCTGAATGAGCGCGCAAATTGGCATCGCGAGAGCTATCGTACAACATAAACGGATAAGCCTAATTTTCAGTCCAGTTTTTTTTTCTCTTTGCCGGACGTTCCGTAACACAACATACACCGTGCATATAATGTGTACATCGCGAAACAAGCGATGCTACTTTACTCGGTACCGCGTGGAAAAATATATGAAAATTGAGAAGGTTTACTGCGATCCACAACTAAACTACGTGAATCGTACGCAAAACCTACAGCAAATTATATTACCATTAAGAAATGTGAGGTATGCATAAGGTTTGTATTTTTGGCCGTGTATTTTTATCAAATGACAATGTATCATTATTATCCTCCCAACATGTTGCAATGAAGGAAAATTTCGCGATGAGGGAGACCAACCCTTAAATAAATCGACAACTCTCTGTTTCATTAAATGTTTTGCTGAATATATTGTTAGCTGCTTTACATGTCGTTTGACCTCTCAGTGGAAAAACTACATTGCCAAATGAATACCGTGTCCACCATTGTAATAAAAGTTATGTATAAAATTAGTGCCTAGCTTGACTAGAAATAGCCATTGCTACGGTTTATAACAATGATACTCAAGTATCAGCAACAATGACAATCTCTAGTCAAGCTTCGCAATAAATTTGTACATAACTTTTACTACAATAGTGGATGCAGCATTAATTTGACAATGTAGTTTTTTCCATTGATAGGTTCAAATCACATGTAATTTCGACTCCCTGACGTGGCTGACAACATATTCAGTGAAACGTTCGATCGATCAGAGAGCCGTTAATTTAATTAAAGGTTGACCTTCTTCATGGTTAAATTTTCGTTTATTGTATATATTTGGTGACATCGATGGTTGAATTCTTAAAAAGGAACGGTCGGTATGTGAAAAAAAAACACAACGTCTGCGTGCGAATAAGCCAAAGTTAAGACGTCTACTACAAAAGTTTTTCAAACAATTAGTTTTTTCGCGCGTTTCGTTGAAAAAACCGATAATCTGAAATTCCTCGCAAAAAGCGCGCACATAAAAGAAAACAGAGTGCGAACCAGCCGCCAGCAAAATAACTTACTTTGGTCTCATCTCCCGCAACACAATGGGCGCGCAGCCCCACGATCGCGCCCCATTCAGCGAGTTTCGGATCGCCTCGAGGAAAAGAAAAAGCTGCACACAACGCGCGCACGCCTGACTGGAATTATCTCGGCGGGGCGAGCGGCAAAGCTCGCGGTCCTACACTAATTTCTCTCATTGAGATCTACGGCGTCGGCGCGCTCTTTTGTGAGATCGCGCGCCTACATACCTGCGCGCCGCGGAAGCAGCATCGCCTCGATCCGAATGCTCCCACGCGGCTGGGGGGGGGGGGGGGGGGGGAGTTTCCGCGAGCTGACGGACGCTCCTCGAAGAAAAGTGCAATCGACGGGACGTGAGAGAGCGCGCGGGACGGCGGCGAACGAACCGCCACTCCGATGGGAACAGATTTTGCCCATGCTTTCTTTTGCTTCCGAGGACACGGGTATCGATCGCGTCGAACTTTCGTGATACGTATTTAGCTCCAACGTGAGTATCATTTGGCGTATGTCTGCTGTCACATTTTCAGCTGAGACGATGAATTTAAACCGCAAAATACTATTGGGGTTTATGTAGGATTAGTATTGTTCTTTTCGGGTCGGCGCGGAATGGTAGTTTTAGCCAACCGACCTCGGCGGTGCGCAAGACAAAATAAATAAATCAATCAATAAAAATAGCCGTAATAATTGGACTGCTCTGCGTCCGTTGGTCGCAGTTGTCGAGAGCATATACATGCCTTTACAACGCTCCTATAGACAGATTTCCATTAAAGAGAAAGTACGCACTTTTCCGCGTTCGGTACTGATGGCATTCCAATAGCGATTCGCGGTAACAAACTTGAGCTCGCGAATGTGCAATACAAAAAACCGACCGGTTTCGCGTTAGTAAGCTTCGTTAAGCTTCTCACAAAAAGAAAAAAAGAGAGAGCGCACCCTTAACCACGATGAACAATCAACTTGGCAAAGTCCCATGAGCGAGTGTACGCGCGGAAAAAAAAGACGAGTAAGAGCCCTTGGGCTCACAATGGCGTACGGAACTTCTTCTTCGTGCGAGTTTCTCTCCCCCTTTGAAGGACTGGCTTCGCGCATGAATGAGTCGACGAATGAATGCCCTGAAGAACGCAGAGCCAGAGACCTTCGAAAGTTGAAGGCGAAAATTCGCTTTCCAAAAGGGGACACACGGTTTTTTTCATAGACTTCCGGTCGACGCGGCCAGCTTTCTTGAAGGCAATAAGCGCCGGAAGTCGTAATCGACGCGGACACACGGTGAGCATTGCTTTGATTCGAAAGATTACGCAGGTGAGGGTCAACGAGTGACTTAGATACTGCCGCTGAAATTGTCGCTTGGAAGACCTCAAGCCGCACGAAGTCGATTGCGCCAGGTAATGCACAGGTGAAAGCTCAAGCTCTCGGGACCGTATGACCGCGCTTGCGAGAGCTGCGTCCAAGCAAGCGCACAAGCAATTCCAGAAATGGCAAATGGTCAAATGCGAAGAATCTTCGTTAATCTTGTACGAGTATGTGCGCAAGTTTATGCATGCGTAGTGCGAAGCCTCAGCAACGAAGAAAACGTCCGGTGTGCAGCATGGATTTTTATACAATGATGTGCATATCTATAGATACATATATATATATACTGGGCGCGAAGACCGAAAAGTACGCGTGGGAATGGTTCAGAGGAGATTCACGAATCTGTTCGAGCGGAAAAGTTTCCTCTTTTTCCCAGGAGCGAAACTCGAGATACTTCTTTTTTGGCGGAGTGATTTTTCCTCTCTTTCGCCGCAAAACTCTTCAATGGGGGAAGTGGCACTTTGAAAGGGCTTTAAATTTTGCGGTCAGTTTTTGAAAGTAATACGCTAAGCACTGCGATGACTTTTTATGGGAGCAGCCAGTATTTATTGCTATTATGTTGGAGCTTTATACAATTTTTGTTTAAGTGGGATTCATAATTAGCTTTTAATGAAATCGGTTTTGTAAAGAACGAAATAGTCTGATTTTCCAAGATAAATAAATTATAATTAATAAATTATTTTCCTGTTCTTATAACCACAAATAATAAATGAGTTTTCTTATATTAGAGTTGAAATTGTAAAGGCTGGAATGTAAGTTTGCTCGGACAAATAACGTGTACGCAATAATTGATGAAATGTTTATAAAATGAACGTCGAGTCTCGCAAATGAATATGAAAAAAAAATATATTAGCAGTAGAAAAATAAACAAACCTGTAGAAAACAATCAAAACTTGAAAGCAACCTTTGAAACGCTCACACGCTTGTTTGGCGCTGCAAGCCAGCATCTTCCCAAGCGTCGTATTTTCGGTGGAGAAGAGGAGGAGAAAAAAAAATCTTTGTTCAGGCGAATCTCTGTGAGAAGTGAAGGAAAAAAATGTGGGCCAATCTACAACACACACGCGCGCCGCGCGCGCGCTCGCGCGCTCGCGCGCACATCGCATGTAAGAATGCAGCATTGAAGATAAGAGGCGGAAAAAGATAAATCGCTTTTTGGACAATCGCTCTTTGCGGTTCCCACGTCCAATTAGTTCGTTTTTGCCACCTAGACGACTTTAGAATTTCGCCGCACGCATCGCGCCCAATCTGCATATGTATATAATGACGGCCGAGCGGCGTGTTCGAGCAAACGATTGGGCCGGATGTGGCGCCGGCCGCGACTTCTGTGTGCGCGCAGATACACGTGCACACGCGCGTACGCACGCGTGTACGTGTATATGTGCCATTTGCTTTATCTCCGGCGAGTCCGCGCATTTGGCATTTCTCGTCGGTGCGGCTTTCGAGGCTTTTATGCGCGCACGATCGACGAGATCGATTCGACGCGTTGCGGTCGTGTTCGCAATTTTCTCGTTGGTTGCGGCGCCTCCTCGACGCACCCGCGTCACGAGTGCCCATGCGTCGACGCTCGCGGTGCGCGCGGAGAGTTAAGCCGAGGCAATTGAAATCAAAATATTTAGGCGCGCTGAATCGACATTCATCGGCGCACATTCATCATTGCGCTTTTCCCGCCGTGACACGCGATCATCGTTTATTTTGAAAGGGGTTATCCGACATCTACTTAGCCGCGCGCATAAAACACACGGGCGACGAGGTGGCAACGGAAAAGCGAGAACGAACGGCACGAGTACCAGTCACAACAGATCGACGCGAGCTGGAACAATCCTTTAGCATTAATTTTCAGCGATCGAGGCCTCGAGCCCGCCGTCCGCGGGAAGAGAAAGAAAAATGGCGCGTGAAATCGCGGATCCGAGGTCTCATGGGAACGTCTCCGCGCGCGAGAGGAATAGGCGACCCCTTGAAAATTGGCGCGCGCGCGCGCTCTCACGCTTGACTCTTTTTGGGGTGGCTGCCGCGAATCCCTCAAGCAAGTCGCCGACAAAAGGGGCCTTCCTTCCCTCTCTCTCCTTCTGGCGGGCGCTTCCAGTACGCACACTTCACCGTTGTTGGGCTTCCGCGCGTGTATACGCGCGCGCACGTACCGCCAGGGAGAAAGGCCGAGAGCGTGCGATAGCAGCAGCGGGTACTCCAAATTTAAAGCGCATCGCGCAACTGTTTGTCTTTGGCCCGTTAATCTTCGGCAGGCGGTGAATTGCCCTGCGCTCTGCGCGCTGTTTGCTTTTCGCCGATAGGGCAGCGAAGCCTGCGAGGCCACCGTGCCGTTGAGCTTCGTTGTTTTTCTCGGTCGGTCGGGGTTTCCGCGCGGGGACGAGCCGGAGGCAGCGCACGCTCGCTTCGCGAATTGTCGACGGAGGCTGCGAAGTCGAGCGCTCGACGCGGGACCCAGCTGTTGCTTCTTCTCGGCAGCGACAGCGAAGCGCCGCCCGCTCGCAATAGCTGCGAGCCGATCGCGACCTTACGTCGTGCAATTGGAATCGATGTCGAGCGCGCTCGTCTATTCGAAAACGAGATGATTTACGAGCGCGCGAGCACGCCCAGGAGGAAGGCAACGTAAGGAGGAGGGGCAAGAAATCGAAAAAATAAATAAATTGTGAACAGCGCCGGGGCAGCATCGTTGCTCACCGCAGCGTTATCAATCAAAGCCGAGCTGCCGCAGCTGTGAAACGGCGCGCCGAAGAGCGTCGGCAACCCCCAGGACAGTTTCGGTCGAGAAATCGGACAAATGACCTGAGACGCGACAAGGTGGCCGTGGCGGCATGAGAACCGAATGACCAGCGCGGCAGTGGCGGGCAATATCACTCGGTCGAATCTCTCTCTCTCTCTCTCTCTCCGACCAGATGCCGTCGCACGCGCAACCCTCTTCCGCGGCCTGCTTTCCCAAGTCGGCACGCAACGCCGAGACAGATGCTTGCGCGTACGCGCCCTTCTCGCACAGATCCAGATAAGGGGCCTTTAGCGCGCCTATATGAGAATGCCTCGCGTCTTGCGCTGGCGCGCGTCGATGAGTCAATTGGAACGGGAGCTCGCACCTGCATACGCGCGAATGGCCCATGATACCTCTCTCTCTCTCTCTCTCGCTCACTTTTTTTTCGAGGACAGCTATATTGACCAGCTGTTGTCGAGTTAAGCTTCAATTTGAATCGATGAATCGTGTCTTTTTTTATCTTCGGCTACTGTAATTTTTTTGAAAGAGTGGCTTTCTATCGATTTGGTTATTAATGGTTGTTTGCCGGGTTCTTAAACGCGATCATTTCGAACGTCACTTGCGTGGTCGTAAATTTGAGTATACGCAAGTTTCGGCTTTATTTACCTTTTTTTTCATTCGCGGAATTTGACTAATTTACAGCATTTATCCAACACAGTTGAGTTTCATCAAAGTGGACGGAAGTAACACGCACGCGAGGGAATGTCTGTTAGAGCAAACCTATAATCTTGACTAATGAAAAGCGTCGGATTGCGATGCGGCAACATATTTCCTTAATCTATTTGCTTCCCGCATCACCAAAAAGTCATCTAAGTAAATATCATTACGAGGGGCTGCGAACTGTAATTTTTCTTTCCGCGCGATTTTAATTGCGCCACGTGAAATTAAAATAAAAACAATTCCCTTGACTGCATGACTATTCCAAATAACGTGAGATTTGACTTGATCGAACGCAGTTGGCAAATGTTGCTTTTTTAAACGTGATACGACAAACACAGGGTTGAAACGACAAAAAAAAAACTGGACGCACCCCTCTGAGAGTTTGCCTTTAGGTCGGTGTCATAAACCTTCCGGTGTATATGTGCGCAATTAGTCCGACAAAAATCTGTCGTATATGTGCTCCAGGTGCAAAGGCGACCTCCCGTCGAACGCGCAAGCTCGTGGGAAGTTTGTCTACGTAATTACACATTCGCGCAGATAAGGATAAGCGACGAATGAAGTCGAGCTGATGATATCTCGGTTTTCTTGTTCGTTGAAAAACACGATTAAAAAAAAGCTTGCGACAAAATATATATTGTCACGGATTGGCGTAAACCCAAGCGGGTGCAGCGACTCGCTTGAAACCCATCGATTCGAATAAGCTCTGCGACGGCAGATTACTTTGGATGACGAACAAAGTGACATCTAGGCCTTCCGTCTCGGCCAAGTATTTGGCTTGAGCTTGCGCCACGCATTTGCCGTAACCCTTTCGTTTGTGCTCGTCTAGCGTTTGCAGTATTCCGAGACCGCCGATGCTACATTGGAATATCCAGGCGAGCAGAGAGTGATCTTGTTTCGAGAATAGTCCGTAGCCGCCGTTGAGCCTCGCGATTTCCGTCAAAAAACCAAGGGTCTTCTCGGGATGCCGAGTGTCTCGATGAGGCCAAAGCGAATGGATCAGTGGCACGAAAGTTTCATCGATTCGTTTCAATTCGCACTCTTCTGGAACTCTGCGTCGACAAATAATCAAGTGCTTTTCATCGATAACGTACAGCTCGAAGATAAGATGAGATAAGCTCCGTGTACTTACTTCACTTTTATCTTCGAGCAGTGCTCCTTCGATAGGAAGTAGCAATAATTATCGAGAGACTTGTAACTGACGCAGCCCTTACTCCGTCCTGCTGTCTCTAAAAAATTCTTCAAGACGCCCAGGATGCCTTCGTGAACGCAAGCGAAAATCAACGATTCGCTCCAGTTTATACGGCGTGTCTTGCGTAGAACTTCCTGCAATATATCTTTGGATTCGTCAAACGCAAACACGACGAGGCTTATCCTTGCACCCTAGAGCGCCAAACAGATAACGTACTTGAATGCAGTGATGATCACGGGAAACTCAAGCGGTTATCGTACTCACGCCCGCGATGCTGATGAAAACGCCAGCATCGGTCGTTCCGTGCGGGCAGTAGAAATCGATCTTCACCGAAGGCTCTTTAGCCTTCCACTTGATTGAGTTGTTCACGTGATTGTGGTACTGCAATTCGCCGGAGAAAAGAGACAAAGATGATCGGCACGCGACGGACGTTGCGCTGCTCGTACCTGGAGCAGGCAGGAACTTACGTAGGCGTACGCCGGCCAATCGCGTTTCAGGAGATCCAGCAGCGAGCTCCATTTGTCCACCGGCAGGCTCTGCAGTACGTCCATGGCGACTCGTTGGCGTTGGCTGCCGGGCTACGACGTCGAGCAGAGCTCGTGCGCGCGGACACGAGCGCGCGTGTCAATCTGCGGGAGTGCGCACGTGACTTGCCGCGAGCACGACGCCTCCGCAATCAACAAGTGTCTCGCGCATGCGTCGGATAATACTTTGATCGCTCGTCCGTTCCCCTTGTCTTGTCTTCCACGAGCTCGTCGCGTTGCCGCTCGATCTCTATCCGAAGCATCCGTGGTGGCGCAACCAATTCAATCCGCATTTAGAGCTCGGCTTCGCGGCATCAAGGGATCGCCGTTCTTTCGGCCACATCTTAACGTGCATCTGGCGAAAAGACAGTTGGAGACGTGGCCGCGACGGTGATGGTCTCTTTGATCGACGAGGTTCCCTCGCGAGGCGGAGATCGGAGCGATGGTCCCCAAGGGAAAGAGCACCTCGGCCCACGGTGCTGCGAGCAACGTATTTGCTTAAGCGGAATCGTTGGAACCTCTCGCGGCAGGGAATGTTATAATATATTCGCCAGCCACGAAATCAGACACAGTCTCGCAGCTGGCGCGACAGGCCGAGCTGACCCGCCTGCGTTCTACGCTCTCATCGTCAATTACACGAGTCTCGTGGGAAGCGCGTCTATGATTACTATTTTGATAAGCGAACGCCGTCGCGCGCTCGCCCGTTTCGTATACCTACCCTTTCCTCTTGTCGGAATTCACGCGCGCGCGGAGAGATGCGCGACTGCATCGTTTTTTAAGGGCTGCGCAGGCTCGTGGGAGTCGAGTATCAGCTGTGTTTCTCTCTCTCTCTCTCTCTCATTTTAATTTCATGTTTGCCCAGCTTTTCAATTTAATGAGACTTCCGGCTAGTGGATGACCTGCCGTTTGGTCAACGGTTTAAAGGGACCGGGTTGAGCTTTACCTTCTCTGTCGGGCAATGGCGCGCGCTTTTTCGACCGAAGTCCCGACCGAGGTATTACCGCTCACGTGAGAGATACAGAGAGAGGGGAGAAAAAGAAGACAACGTCAGAACCGCGGGCTCGCGGAGACGATTTCCAGTACAAGCATGCAAAATAGTCGAACGCCTAGCGCCACGCGATTCGCGTTGTTTCACACGATCGCGAAGCGGAGGCGCTCCGTCGCGTCTTCGCAGCGACTGCAGCTGCTCGTCTGCGGCCAATGCGCATTAATGAGGGGTCTTGCGAGTATAAAGAGCGTGCTCGCGCGTCATGTGCAAGCGATGCCGCGCGCATTACCAGTTCCGAGGGTTCAGCCCGTAATTATTATGTGACTTTGTTGCCTTTCTTTTCTCTCTCTCTCTCTCTCTCTCTCTCTTTCTCTTTCGTGTTTTTCGTTTGATGGATGGTTTTGTTTTTTTTGCCCTGACTACTTCGCTGAGCACGTGGCTGCAACTTGCAATACGAGTCTATTATTTTACGTGCAGACTCGGCGTACGAGCAGTGCGATGCGAGTTATTCTTCAGACTGGCAAAGTGTTCCAGTACTTTCGATCGGAAAACAATATGACACGTATTCTTTACTGTTTGGCGTGAATTATAGAGGTACTGTGCAGTCAAATTGCTGTCAAGCGTACATAAGTGAATTCTATGTTTCGCCAAAAATAAATTGCCACATACAATGGAATTTCGTTGAAAAATTTTATTAAGAAAAAGATAAATGGCTCTTTCATATTCCACGTTCACTTCAGTCAACGAGCCAAGCGTACGTATAACACGAAAGTCGTTAAACAAGCTTGCACGTACTGCAATTGATTGCACGGTCGGCAAAGAGAGAGAGAGAGAGAGAGAGAGAGAGAGAGAGAGAGAGAGGCGGCAATTCGTGCGAAGAAAGGCGAGTGATTAGATGGTAAGTGCAAGCGAGGAGCTAAGGAGGGTTAAAAGAGAGAAAGAGAGAGAAGGAGTTGTGGGCGCTACGCACGATGCTTCCGACGGATATTCGGCGTCGAAAATTGCCAATTGTCTCAATGGGCCGGCGACTCGGCTGCTGCCGCTGCCCCATTGTCTAACTAACGCGGGGCCAGCGCAGACAGCATCAAAAGGAGCGAACGCCAAAGACCGAATACATGTCCGCGCACTTAAACTATTTCGCTCTTTTTTTCGTCCATTCCCTCCTTCCTGCCTGCCTCTTTAAAATTTCCGACCCTAACTAATTGGCTTCAATAAGTGTGCATGGAATCTAAACACTCATCAGACGGATTTCTTATCTTTGTTTTTCGCATTCTTTTTTCGCGATCTCATCGCAAGCTTATCGAGCACACCGTAGTACCTGTGAAAAGCCGGGATTCCGCGGTACACACAGTCAAACAGCCGAACGAGTGGAGCTGCCTCCGACTCCTGTGCTTTTAATTGTCTCTCTCGCGCGCCCAATTATTTCTTGTTTTGTCTCTCTCTCTCTCTCTCTCTCTCTCTCTCTCTCTCTCTCTCTCTCTCTCTCTCTCTCTCTCTCTCTCTCCGTCTCTCTCGGGAATTGGGGCTTTTCTCTTTGTCTCTGGCCGGGCCTGCGCCTGGGCGGGGCCCCAAGTTCGAGGAAAAGCCTCGCGCCATTCGTTGGTCCGCGTCCTTCGGCGCGGACTTTTCCAGTGATCGGCGCGCCTGCTGTTTGCCGAAGGGATGCATGCGGGACCAGAGCAACGGAATGCGCGCCTGATTCCTTTCTGCCTTGGGCGCAGCCGGAGCCGTTTCTCCTTTTCTCTTTCTTCCGCGCGACTCTCGGGCGGCTGCCTCGCGGAAAAGCCGGACTAGCGATATGAACACAGGGGAATGCAGGAGTCAGTCTATTTATTCGAGCAGCAGCTATGCGTGGGCTCTGAAATGGTCTTTGGGCTCAAATAGTAGGACGCGGCCGACGACACGTGGACGAAGCCCAGGGACGCGAAGAGTCTTTGCGAGGCTGAGTTGCGATCGATTATGAAGCAGGAAACGTCGATGTCGTCGCGCTCGGCAATGTCCTTCGCCATGGCCATCGATACGAGCGCTCCATAGCCCTTGCGTCGGTGAGCGTCCAGCGTCTGCAACATGCCCAAGCCGCCCAAGTTGCACTGCAGTATCCACGCGGCCACGGAGTTGTCCTTCTTCGAGAACAGCCCGAAGCCCCCGTTCAGGCGGCCGATCGTCGTCAAAAACGCGAGCGACTGCTCCGGGCAATCGACGTCCCGGTGCGGCCACAGCGAGTGGATCAACGGGATGTGGGACTCGTCTATGCGCCTGAGCTCGCAGCCTTTGGGCACTCTGCGAAGAGAGCACAGCCAGCGTTACGCTTGGAAATGCGGATCGCGATGGGGAACGGCCGCTTTGCTTACGCACTCGACCGTTATCTTACGACACTCGTCCCTGGGCATGAGAAAGCTCAAGTTGACGTTGCGCTCGTACTCGGCGATGTGTCCCCTGGCTTTCTCCTCGGCGAGAAACTCGTCCAAGAGCTCGTTGACGTTGTCGTGCACGCAATACAGCACGCACTTTTCGTTCCAGCTGATCAGGCTCGTCTCGCGAAGCACGCCCCGGAATAGATCTCTCGCCTCGTCGAACGAGAACAGCATCACGTATTTCCGCCCGTGCTGAAATCGAGGCGGCGGCTGGATCGCCGTGAACGCGACTTGCGTGGGTGCCAGCGCAGCCAAATACTCACGTTTGATTTGCTGACGAACACGCCCGCATCGGCCCTGGCATCGGGACAGTAGAATTCAATGTCGACCGCGGGATCCTTCAGTTTCCACTTGATGGAGTTGTGAACGAAATTATAGTACTGCGCAAATAAAAGAGTAGAGGCTAGATGCAAAGTCGCGCTGCTAAGCGACACAGCTGAAACGGACTTACATAAGCGAATCTCGGCCAATCGCGTCTCAGAGTGTCCCTCAATGCGGTCCACTTGTCGACTGGCAGGCGTTGTAGTATGTCCATATGCTTGGAAATACCGATAAACTCGCTCGCCGCGTCCACGGGCGAATGAGCCTCGACGGCAATACGACTGCCTCGCTCGGTCTAATCGCTGCTGATCTGGAGCGCTGATCGATGACACACGCATGCGTGGCCCTCCTGATCGATGATTCGTCCGCCGACGACTCTGGCACAACGTTCGCGAGCGACCCGCGTGATATCGAAAATATCCCGTAGATCGTTGCGGTGGAACGACGCCAAGTGTCGGAGGTAACGTAAGTGCGACGCGGCTTTCGTTTGTTCGTACGCTGCTACAACGCTCCTGTAACTTGTCGCGAGTACTCGCGACAGAAATGCGCTCTTCGAGTCGGCGCTGCTAAGGCAGAGAGCAATATTATTCGTGGGCGGTACGGCGCGACGCTGCTCGAGCCTCTCCGCGGCTTTCGTCGCGCTTGACGTCGGTGGAAACCGGCGAGGCGACCGCGGTGGAAAAGCGCCCGGAGAAGTCAAAGTGGAATTCGAGTTGGCTCGCTTAGCTATCCGACCTGCGTCGTCGAGTAGCGTACTACGGGCGCGCGGCGAGCACTGCGAATATGCGCGCGCAACGGACAATGCCGCGCGGGAATTCTTGCGGTTCGCCGACGCGCGTGACCCTCTTACGTCCTCCTCCTCCTCCTCCTCCTCCTCCTCCTCCTCCTCCTCCTCCTCCTCCTCCTCCTCCTCCTCCTCCTCCTCCTCCTCCTCCTCCTCCTTGCTCTCCTCGCGCCGGCATTTTGTCTCGATAAAGCCGCGAGAATGCGCAGCACTTGAACCTTCTTTTTGCGCTTTTGTTTTGCTCATATACCGAGCGAACTTCGTCTGATATTTTTTTTTTCGGGGACCGTCAGCTTTTTCTTTCGCTCTCGCACTCTCGCGTGCTTTTATTCTTTGACGCAAGCAGCTTGAAGAAAAGTTTCATGGGCGGGAGGGAGGGGGCATTGAGATTTTTTTTTCAGCCGATGTGGTTGAGCTACCGAGAGGCCTCTTAGTTTCAAAGGTTCGTTTCGTGGAGATTTGCGTGGGTAATTTTGCCGACATTAATAAAACACCAATAGATATTTTGACCGCAGTTTTATGGCATGGACAATAAATTAGACATTGGCTGTATTTCTTTTCAAAATGACGGATAATGACGAACGGCGATCTCTCACTTTATAAATCGTAGCGGTCGATCGATCGATCTGCTATACGACCTACTGTTAAATCAGCAATACTTCTTTCTCTTGTAATAACTTAAAATATAGAAGTGTACTGTTATCCTCTTAAATGACAGAAGAGTACATTATGATAAGCAAAAACTTAATTGACCTAATAAAATCTTTAATGGACGATTGGACGCGTATATCAAGACTTTTGTCGACGTTATATGTGTAAGAGGAGTCGTAATCCCTTCGATGACAGAAAGATTCCAATATATTGTCACATCTTTGAGAAAGGTGCCGACAATGCATCACTTGCCGCGCATCAAAGTAATCATACGGACGAGCATCACTTTCACACGTGCGAGAGCAATCCAGCCATCTCGAATCCAAATGATTTTTGCTCGAAAATTCGGCAGTGCATCGGCAGCATTGAACTGGCACATTCCCATGCGCCGCGAGCCGTGTAAGCTCTCAATAATCTCTCGACATACCAGATCCGATCAATATTGTCATCTTCGGACTCATCATCGAGGCCGCATCGTGACTTTGATTTATGACGGCAGCCCGAGGTTCTCACACTCGGCCCGCGTGCGAGCTTCGTCCGAGATACAGTCCGCCAACATTTTGATCATCTCGCTGCGATTGCCCATCCTTGCGAGCGACATTCGCGCCGCGCGACCTTCGCGTGAGCGCAACAGCTGAGAGAGAACTATCGGCGATAAAGGGTCGGACGCGTTCGGATGAAATTCATTCAGTAAAGCGAGAGCCTCCGAAGGAAGAAAAAAAAGGAGAAGGATAAAGACTGCTGCTTTATTTTGGTCGCCCTTGCCGATTGCGCAACTTGGACGCGGGCGAGTTTCACTGACGACAGGGGAACTCGCACGCCGCTTATCGTACATTTGCACAGCTGGGGAAGTGACGTTTATCGCGCTAGCATTTCTCTCTCTCTCTTTCTCGCTCTCTCTCGCTCTCTTTTGCGGAGAAGCCTAGCACAGCCTGTGCGCGTTTGAATAGAAATCAACGTGAAATTTTGCGGATTGTTTGCGTCGAGATTACGCGCTCTAGTTGTTTTCAAACGACAAAGCGGGTCGAAATTAAGATAAGGATCGGAGTGCTCATTAGTTTATTGGCACTGTACATGTAACAAGCCATCTGTTTCATTTGTCAAGTTACGTTGACTTCACAATACACAAAACAAAGAATTTACGTTCAGGCTACATAGTGAAAATACCATTGCTTTTGTTAGCAATTTCAAATGGACGATTACGAGGCTCGCAGTCCTAGAACCGTGAATGTCTCGTATCCTTAATACCTGCGAGTGAAAAACCTGTTGCGGAGATGTCGAACAAATTGATTATTCGAAATTGAAAAGGGGCGGACAAGAGGAAGCGCGGACTCCGCCGGTGCAAGAGCTGCTTGTGAGGAAAGAATTTTCGCGCGTCCCTGCTCCTGCCGCGAACCGAAAACTTCGTATTTTCCCGAGAAGAATGAGTCGGAGGTCTTCGAGAGCCACAAGGAAGCAATTCATCGTGAGCATGCTGAGATAAGTGAGCTCGTCTCGGAACATTAAAGGCGCCTCCTTTTTTGTTGGGACCAAGTCACGCCAGGCTATCTTTCCGAATGGCCACACATCGCATAGAAAAGCCAAATTAGTCGGAGAAGATGCTTTTTTCCCCTCACGCTTCGTGAGAAGAAACTTCAAACACAGCGGCCAGAGAGAGGGAGAGAGAGAGAGAGAGAGCGCGTCGACTGGCACATTTCCACGAGTTCGCTTATCGGCTTTCCGACTTATCGGCGCTAATACCCTAACGCTGCAGTCGCGTTGCATCGTGAGAAAACACCGTGCTTAACGTTCATTACTTAGGATGCTGCTCCACATGCTTTCACGGGTGCATCGTCCTGCTCACTGATAATCTTCGCCATTAGTCGCTATTCGCAAGTTTTGGTTAATAAGGCGAAGCTTGCTGCACTAATAGTCGACAGTGTAGCATAGAACATAAGTAACAAAACCGAAAATAGAATGTAGCGATCATATGTAAAAATTAATTACCTCTTGTGCGTCGCGGAAGTTGAAAAGCGGTGCGATTGATTTTTCTGTCAAACAAGTTATGTGTTTTTCCCAATACCTGAGCTTTTATGCGCTAAACATTTTATTACGAAGGGATTTTCAGATTGAATTGTAACTTTTTGTTATGATACATGAGCTTCCAACTTCCAAATGAAACATCATTCGCATTGTTAAATGCAAAACACTTCAAACATTTGCAAAATAAACAAGAAGTCTAATAATAGTTTTACATTTCATGTTTCATAACCCATGCATAGCTACATACACGTACTTCAAGATTTAAATTTGCTCTTGGTCAAGAAACTTCAAGCCAAAAACTTCAATAGTCGTGTCGCAGCATGCCTACGACTTTTTTTCTCAGTAACGAGAACCTTCCAGTTAAATAAATAGGCGTTCCATTGAGAAAACTGAGTGAAAGGTCATTTACATTTTGTCGAGAGCTTTTTCCACGAGGCGCTATCGACGTCCACATCTTATCGACACAAAACACAATACTCCCTGGCATGCGCATATTCTTGCGAAACTTAATGCTGATTGCTTTCCTTGAAATGCCGCTTTAATTAGTTCTTCATAATTTGCTTTCGGATGAACCTTCATAAATAAATGTTCATTTTTTGACACTAAGCTTGCACAATGCACATACTTGTAAAAACTCACTAATATACCAAAAATCAGTATGCCGATTATTATTATCACATTATACAATAGAAACTCTAATATCTGTAAAGACAAAAGTCACAATTTCACAGGAAAATTGTCGTCTATAAATATCAAAGTGCAAATCAGGGAACTGTCAAATATTAATTTATCTACATAATCTTCAAATTTATAATCTGATCTTTCATTGGTTATAACACAAGAAATTTCTCGATTTTCTTTTACTTCATGTAAATCAGTGTGTGCATTAAAAACAATTAATATAATTTAACAGATAAAATGTATCTTTCACAACTTTTTATATCTCTTCTAGGTCACAATCCTCGATATTCACTTTATATTTGAGAACCTTTTACCTTTTAGTTCTTTTACTTATATTTTGCCTGATATCAAGATTGTTAATTGTTACCTTTGGTTCATCACTTGTCCTATTTACCGAATAGTTAAGGGAATTGTAGATTCTCGACTAAGCAAACCATTCAACAGGAAGTTTCGCATAAGTTATATATCCTCAGTTTATAAAAATATTTAAGAATAAATTAATGAACTTTTCATCGAGATTAATGTCCTATAAAGTAGGCATATAGTAGGTTACAGCTATTAAAAAGTAACCAAATGTAATTGCTTTGACGAAAAGAAATTTAGCTAAAGACGGATGAATTGTAAGACTCAAAAATCAGTACAAGAGGAATTATGAATATCGGATTTCCAATTGACTGCTAACCAAGCTTGATCGTATAATCAGCTACTTCACCGTCCATTCGCGAAGCTTGAAAAATCCAAGTGAAGCTTTAAGCACTGTAACGTAGCCAAAACATTGGAAAGGATAGAAATAGCTTCAATAGAATGGCAATAGATTTGATATTCTCGATTAACATAGTTTTTTATCCGTCAATTATGTTATCCAACCAATAATAATAATCATTCTGGATGATATGAATTACGATACCCCGAAGATTCAACAGTCACATACGTTTATGGCCTGTTTTTCGTTCTCATCCATTGCATCTTTTTCAATTTTCATGCAAACGATGCTCTCTTCACGATGACTGGAATGGCCATTAATTCAAAGTCCAGCTGTAGATCGTTTTTCTTTTGGTTTTTTTTTTGTTATCGCGCGCACGTCGATTTGTGCTTTTCATTAGCAGAGATCATTTTATAGAGATTAACAAGTCGAGTAAAGTTAATAAACATCCAGTTAGATATAGAGTGATGAATGGTTAATGATTATCGAAGATATTAATTGTCAGCCGTAACAATGAAAATATCTGTTATCGGTGAAATACACGAGCAAAAAAAAAGAAATCGGAAAAAGAAAGCAAAAGCTCGATGTTCTCATTTACGGCACGCGCAAATGTAATTCCGTACATAAGCTCAAGACTTTTATATTACGCGCGCCCTATAATAATACAATGGTCAACGGAAAGAGAGAGAGAGAGAGAGAGAGAGAACAGGCCAATAAACATTTCCCCCTCGCGCGACAAAACCGCCCCGTTGAGGTGTGTGTGC